CCAGCTGAGGTCAGCACCCACACACCCACATGCCCACCGTGGGAAATCAAAGTCACCTCTCCTGATGAACGATTTCTGCACCTACCCATTACTGAACAACGTTCAATAAAGAGAACAGGAACTGCCGTGTGTTGGCAAAGGCTGCTGTCCTGATCGTGAGCAGGACAGACCTACTTTCTGCTCCATTTCTGCACTTGGGGTCAGCTCCAGGATCTAGTAGGTCCTCCTGTGTGTTCTGATCAGGATGCTCACATTTCCTCATTGGCCCTTGGAGTCCTGAGCACAGGCCTAATGGCCACACCCTGCCCTGTGCCAAGCCTGCTGCTTGCTGAAGGGACACATGTGGAGTCCCCAGGCCCGGGGTGGACAGGTTCATCATGGCTTCCTGGACAGCAGGGCGTGTGTCTTGTGGTCCGACAGGCTCTGACCTTCCTGGGTGGAAAGTGGGCACCAGCTCTGGAGGGTGGGCATGTCCTGGTCCCCCCGGAGCCACAGGGAGCTCCCTCTCTGTTTGCTCTTAAGAGTCAAACCCCAGCTGGCTGGACATCATTGCCACACGCCCTGTGTTGACAATGTCCCTCTCAGGAGAAGGAACAAGTCAGAGTCAGGCTTCTGCCCTGTGTTTCTCTCTCATCCCTCATTTTCTGAGTGTTTGCTTTGCTGACATCTTCATTTCACACCTCCCCTGCCTTCAGGGAGAGTCTTCCCAGAGCCTGTCCACCTGTGTCCCTCTCAGGCCCCTACCCATCCCACCTGGTGAGGAGACCCTGGACCAGCCAGAGCATGGCTGCCTCTGTCCAGCCAGGGACCTGGGCCTGGGGCTGCCCTTGCTGAGGGTGAGGCAGAAGCAGAAGCACATCTGTTCCCTTGTCCCCAATGTGTGACAGTTACAGATGTCATTGTCCCCAGGAGTGGAGGCCCGCTGAGCAGGTGAAGAGGTTCTTTGGCGTCTCTGCCAGCCCACCAGCAGGCTGTCAGGCAGTCAGGCCCCCATTGCCCTTCTCCCCAGAGAGGCAGAGAAAGACACCAGACGGTACGAGCCAGCCCGCAAGGCTGCCGAGTGGGACACGGATGAGGAGCTCATGACATGGGTGGGGGACAGGACTGGTGGCTCCAGGGGGCAGTTTAGACGTGCACCTGCGAAACCCACAGGGCCTGGAGTCCACAGTCCCATTTGGCCTGGGGCTTACGATCTGCAGTGGGTGGGGGAAGAAGGCTGGGGCCAGACTGCCCAGCCCGGCTCAGGTTGGAGATGACTCTGCTTTGGGGAGGGTTTTACACCCTTGGGTGCTCACGAGTGCTGACCCCTCAGCTCTGCTGGGTACAAGCTGCCCAAGCGCTAGCTCAAGCATTGGAGTTCTCCCGAGTGTGGGAGACCAGTGTGGTGGACAGCGAAGTGGGGCCACAGAACCACACATTGGAAACACTCCCTTTATACAGAAAACAGACAGCCAGAAAGGAGGGCGCCTCTGAGAGTCAAGCCCTTCAACATGGTACCACGTCCCCCCAGGGTTCATGTCCCTTTGGTTGGTTCTGTTGGCTTCCATAGAAGAAATGCTCCTCATTTTTATTTTTATTTTTCTTGGTACCAGGAATTGAACCCAGGGGTGCTTAACCACTGAGCCACATGCCCAGCCCTTTCTTATATTTTATTTAGAGACAGGGTCTGGTGAGGTGCTTAGGGCATTGCTAAGTTGCTGAGGCTGGCTTTGAACTCTTGATCTTCCTGCCTCAGCTGCTCGGAAGGACCAGGGAAGGGCAGAGTGTGGCTCCTGCTCCCACCTCCCCCCACCCACACCGTCACCTTCAGATTCCCTCCTCGAGGACATGCCTGTTCCTAATCTGAGCACACCCTCACTTCCTCTGCTGTGAGGCCACTGAAATGGGTCTTTCCTTACCCCTGTCTTGTGCCTACAGTCCATCATCCGTGATGATCATCCAGCTAACAGGACATCCCTAGGCACACTGAGGCTGTGTCCCCTCCTGCTGAATCTGACCCTCACACATTTCTAACTGAAGCAGCCCGTTACCCAGGGAGATTTGCACCCATATGTGGGAGGCCATCCTGGCACGTGATTTGAGTTACCTCCCTAGCTGGGTGAGAGGCGCTTAGGCACATCTTGTGTCCAGAGCTTTCCCCACCCTTCTCAGGTCCAAGGGCTTGTCCGTGCGGAGGCATGTCTGGCCACTACCCTGAAGACTCAATTGTCGCCCCTGACCTTGGGATGCTGCCCCCCTTAATCCTCATTAGATGGGATTTTCTCCAGAATTTTTTGTTCCCCAATAAAAGTCCACTCCCTGGTGTGTTCTCTCTCTCTTGTTAGCCTCTTCGTAAACCTTGCTACCACAATAGGTAGCTTGAGGCTGGAGCTAGGAGGAGCCATCCTAGAGCTGGTTTAAAAGTAATTAGAGTCTTGTCTCTTTAATTCAAAACTCCCTAGAGGTTTCTCACGTTTGGAACTTTCATCCATGAAGCCTACGCTGGTCGCGGGCTAAACCCATATCTTGTAGTGCTAATGCCACCTTCCCTATCTGAGGGCCCAGGGTAGAAGGGTCCATGGTCCTCTGATCTGTTGGAATTTGAAAGCACATGGACCCAGTTTTAAAACATGGCTTTATTACAAAGGTTGGTGTCATGAGAAGAATAGTGCAGTTAAGCACCCTGTAACCCAAAGACGAGCTGAATAAACCTGGTGTTTTCCTGTCGTCTACACAGCAGAAGACGAAAACCTTGGGCAGAAGACGAGAACCCTGAGCAGCACCCTGGTTTACATATCAGTTCTACTTTTATGAAATGAAAGGGAAAATTACAGGAGCAATAAGCTACATGACCAAGTTCACAGATTAGACAGGGCAAGGACATGGACAGCACAAGGTGGATGCAGACGGGAGGCACTGACCATAGGGCATGGGCTGCTTCCTCCACAGTAGGTTTCACAGTTGGCTCACAACGCTCTCTGGAGAACCCCTGTCCTGGGAGGGTTGTCAGGAACACCTGCTGGTGTCGGGCAGCCAGGGGCTGTTCCTGGGTGGTGGGTGCTCTGGGTCAGGACCAGTTGGGCTTCTGGGTGCTGACCCTGTCCAAACCTTGACTGCATGGGGGGGCTCATCTGGGCCCACGAGGCTGGTTTATCTCCTCCAGTTTCTGACTCTCTGGTCAGGATTCTCAGGGTGCAAGTGTGCTTTTAACTGGGTGAACAGACAAGTTCCAGTCTCACAGTGCCCAGGGACAGTGCGGCACCAGGAAGGCGTAGCTGGGAGCAGGCGCCTGCCTCTGGTGGCCCCTCGCTCTCAGCCCTCCTCCTCCTCCAGCTTGGGTTGGGGGGATCTTCCTGGGCCTCTGTCACCCTCAGATGTCCTCCCAAGGCTGCCATGAGGGTGGCTGAGCGTGGAGCCGCCCGTGCGTGTTTCTGGGGGGACCCCAGCTTGCCCTAGAGGAAGACGTTTCCAGTATGACACATCCACTTGATCTGGGGAAGGGGCAACTCAACCCTGGAATGCCAGGATGTTGGAAGGGACCCTGAGTGTGATGGAGAACGTGCTCTAACTGGAGGCCCTGCGAGGGCAGTGGGCCGGCAGGTGGCAGTGTGATAGATATGTCACTTCCTCTCTCCTGCTACGTCTTGGTGACACGTCCCAATGTAATCAGGCTCTAAGCCATCAGAAGGCCACTTGCTGTGGGCTCGGCTATCTCCACTTTTGTTAAGTTGCTTCTAAGTCCACGTTCTAACCTTCCTTGCCTATTTTTACATTGCTCTGTCAAAACCTGTTCTGTAGCCGGGCACAGTGGTGTACTCCTGTGATCCCAGCTACTCTGGAGGCTGAAGCAGCAGGATGGCAAGCTCAAGGCCAGCCTCAGCCACTAAGCAAGACCCTGTCTCAAAATAAAAAATAAAAAGAGTTGGTGACGTAGCTCAGTGGACGAGCACCCCTGGGTTCCATCCCCAGTACAAAATAAAAAGGAATCAGATAACCCGTCCTGTAGTGTGGATAGGGATGCAGGGTCCTAGGTATTCTGGGATTGGTGTGGCTGGACAGAGAGGGGTTGCCATGAGGAGGTAGTATGGCCAGAGGGGGCATCTGGCCCTAGCAGCTTTCCTGGGTGACACTGCAGGACCAAGCAGCAGCTGGAGCACAGGCACAGTATGTGGTCACAGACATCTGGGCTTGGCCCAGAGCCTCAGTCAGTAGGGAACACCCCATCCCCGAGGCACCAAGGAGCCCTTATTTGAGACACACTCAAGGAAGTTATTAGTTTCTGGAATCTTCCAATACATCGCAATCTCACAGAAGCATTTCACAGGCTGTCAGTGACACAAAACACCCAGGCCAGGGCCTGTTAGGTGTCTTGAGCCCGGGAGGCTGTTTAAAAAACTTGTCAAAGTAGGAATTTGTTCCTGGCAAAACGGCTAGTCCTGACTCTTCAATTTTGCCTCACTGGAATACATTAAGGATTCAAGAATCCCCGTGCCACGTGACTAGCTCATGATACTTTTTGAGACACGATTATAAATAATTCAGGGATTTGGTCCATTATTGAAAATTGAGTCCAAGAACAAACTAATTACACCTATTATTCAAATATGCAGAATATACTTTTGAAAACACCCAGGATAAAACTGCAGGACACACAATAAGCTTGTCCACAGACTGTGCTTTTGCCTGGCTGCTGGGCCCAGGATAGTCGCTGGTGGGAGCAGGGCCTTATCCTTGCCTGAGGACCAGGGTGCCCATGCACGGAAAGGCTAGCAAACAGAAATGGCAGCGTGGCCAGGAAATGACAAAACTTGCTGTGCGTCCCTGGGTCCTGGTGAAGGCGGGAAGGTCACTGTCCCCGACACAAAAAAGAGATGCACAGAAGCAGTCGTCGCTCGGTTGACCTTGCCGTCCGTGGCAGGTGGCTACGGGGCTCAGAGCTCTGCACAAGTCAATGTGCACGTGACCCAAGTCTACATTCACACCAGGATGGCCCCAGAGAGCGTAGCTGCACCACCCGTGACTGAGGAAGGAACTGGGTTTATTGGGGGGTGGACAGATGCACTCAGTGTGGGAGGCTCAGGGTAGACAGTTGAGGGGCTCCTTGCTGGCACTCGCAGGCCCACGTCAGGTGTGCTGCCCTGTCCACACAGGAGTGAGGCCTGGCATCTTGACCAAACAGACCTTTGTTCTCAGAGCCTTTCTCTGGAGCGCCTTTCTTGGTGCACGTGGGATGCGATGCAGGTGCCCCGGGAGTCCCAGGGGCCTGCGGTGGAGGGTGGAGCACTGGTCTCCCGCCTGGTCTGCCCTGCTCAGAGGGTTCCACGCCGGATTCTCCCATCACAGAAGGAAACAGATTGGGCAGGAAATAAGAGAGACTCAAAAGGGCCCACATCTCCTGGTTGGTTCCCGTCCCCGCCCCAGTCCCTGCCCCATGGTGGACTTCAAAAGGTCCAGACTGGCATCCTTTCCATAGGTGCCCCCATTGCCAGGAAAACCCCCAAAGCTGCAGTTGCTGAGGCTGGTGCCTTGAAGAGTACCAGCCTGGAAGCTCAGGTCAATTCTCTGGGGAGAGGGGAGTCCAGGGAGTGAGGGGAGGACCAGCCAAGCCCGGCTGGGGTGACTGGCTCTCGGGGATAAGGTGGAGGGAAGTGCGACAGATGTCCTGAGGCCTGTGCTGGTTTCCTTTCCACAGGTTCTTAAATCATGAAATATTCTAACTGCAGCAGAGTCCAAGTTGAAACTGGGAAACAGACACTCTTCCACCAGAATTCCCTCTAACCCCTGTCCAGTGGGGGTGGAGATGAAGACATTTCCAAATCCTGTGCAGCACACACCCATAAATGTCATGGAGGTGAACCTCTAAGTGACATTCAGAAGGAAAATCAGCAACCCACTCCAGTATTCCAATTTGCAGACGCCCCAATTCAGCTCATGAGAATGGACGACCACCCCCCCGCTGGGAGACCCCCAGGCTCTGCGTCTCCACGACTGTTCCAGGCACATCAGTGAGGCCCCGGGAGCAGGAGCCTGAGTCCACCCTGATGACAGAGTGGCCCACCTCCTCCCGGCCCCTGCCCTCAGGCTGTGCTTCCAGGACACCAGCTGCTGGGCAGGAGGCCGCTGCCTCTCCTCCTCCCGCCTCCTCCGTGGCTGTCTGGAGCGGCAGGATCATGGCCTGCAGTGCTTCCTTCACCATCTGGAGCTCTCCCTTGAGGGACTGTGTGAGTTGTTAAGGAGCAGGAGAGGTGATCAGCCCCACCCCCGGAGACCTCCGAGAACCAGCGCCTGGAGCAGATGGAGCCATCCAATTGCAGTTCCGAGCTCTTCCAAATTGTAGGAATTAAATATTGATACAAATTTTACACTTCTTTTAACAACGGCTGAGATTTCTGTGAGGCCTGAGGTTATTAACTATCTGAAGCACAATTCTGAAATGTGGAAGGAAGAGTCGGTGCCCAGGCTGAGACAGATGGCAGGGCAAATGCTCAGCGATACGTGGTTACCAGCACAAGTCTGGGGAGCCCCAGGCCAGGGTGGGCGACTGCCAGACATAAGAGCCCTGGTGGCAGAAAGGGAAGGATGCTTGACAAAAGAGCCTCCCCAAGAAATCCAGGACCTGGGGCCACTACAAGTACAGAGGCCTAAACAGGACCAGCTCCTCACCAGGAACCCTGGGCCCTGCTCACTGCTGGCCAGCCTGGTCTCCTTCAAATCTTTAAACCTGGCTTCTCAGGGATGACTCTGAAATGGCTCTGGGATCTCACCTGCTGCCCTGTTGCTTTACTCCCAGGTAACTGCAGGGACCCCAGATTTGATGGAGTACAGGCACCGGCCTTTTCTGGGTTGTTTGTTTCTCTTAAACTGATTTTCTACTTATAGAGTTGTTTCTCATATAGAGAAAAGTAACAAAGAACTCAGCAAATCAGAGAACAGCACAGATGAGGCTCTTCTCTTAAGAAACCGGTTCACTTCCTGCAATCCCAGCAGCTCAGGAGGCTGAGGCAGGAGGATCATCAATGCAAGGCCAGCCTCAGCCACTTAGCAAGACCCTGTCTCAAAATAAAAAATAGAAAGGGCTAGGGATGTCACTCAGTGGCAAAGCACCCCTGTGTCCAATCCTCAGTACCAGAAAGAAGAGAAGAGAGGAAAAGGGAAGGGTAAATCATCACAGGAGGTCAGGCTGCTGGAACATTCCAGAGGAGATGTGGAGGAAGCTTGGGGAAGGCTGTCAGGGAGGGCTGACAGCTCACAGGCCACCGCCTGCAATGCGGCTCCACCTAGGAGCAGTGCCAGCGCAGGAAAGAGTGACACCCACAGGGTGTGACCCTTCTAGAACAAGGAGCTCAGAGGACCTGGGATATGCCAAGGAGCCTCCCCAGCAGAAGCAAGGGCCCAGCCACCTGCAAGCTCCAGGTAGCTCTCAACTGCCCCGGGTTCCTCCTCGCCTGTCATTCACAGACATTTTCTACCCAGGCTCACTACTTGCACTTGAACTTGAGGGGGGGACAAGAGTGGGGTTGGGAAAGCAAGAGAGGAAAAAACCAGTTTCTCTCTTTTTTTTTTTTTTTTGAAAGAAGCTTTGCTTTCCCCCATTTGTACTCATCTTTAGTGAAAATTTCATGCAAGCCAAAGCGTAAGTAGGCCCAGCACAAATACCAGGCTGAGTTCAGCACGAAGTCAGGCTGACCACAAAGAGTGATCCTGGGGAACCCCGGGACTTAATCACCTCGGCTATGCAGCCTGGACTACACACCAATGTTCGCAATCTGGTAAGTGAGGACCGAGGTTTTCAGAGAGAAGTTAAACCAAAATGTGATGTTTCTTTAAAACTTCAGGCACTGACAGAACAAACTGAAAAGTATAAAGAGAGAAAAGCTACAAAAGGAAGTGACTGTTGCCCCATTAGCCATCGGACGGCCCTCAGACGACGCTCTCTGCTGACCCTCATCCCCTGCATTCTGGCCCGGCCAACTCTGGGATCCAGCAAACCAGGTCTGGCCACCCACCCCAAAACCAAACCTGTGCCTTTCTCACAGGCAAGGACTGAAAAAATAAATGTCTTCCTCCCTGGTGATAGTATAGTGCCTTGTGTGAGAGATTTAAGGTTTACTTCCTAAGATAAGGTGGAGTCAGGGCTGCCACAGGAGCTGTGGGCCATGGCCTGGGCTGTCCCCCAGGCCCACAGGGGAAACCGCAGTCCACTTCAGGCTTGGACAGCACTGGCTGCTCTGCTGCTGAGGCTCATTTTCAAAAAGTTCAGGGTTCTTTCTCTTCCCCTCTCCCCTCTCCCTAACCCAGGGAAGGGAAAACAGGACCCCCCGTCTTTCCATCCTGGGCAGAGTTATCTGTCCTGAGCACATGCCCCCCCACAGGACCAAGTGATCCAGATTCGGGGATGACACCAGAAGATCTCAGACATGACCATCTCCCAGATTAACAAGTGAACCCCAGCTCTGCACAGAACACCTGCAATAGCCTTTGAATCACCTCCTTAAACCCCATTCCCCCTGATGGGGGAACCACAGCCTCTGGGACAGGAGTCTCCTGTGCTTCCCCTTTGCTGACAGAGCCTCGTCCTCACTAGTGGATGGGCATGGGGGACGAGGACAAAGCTCCTGGTAGCAGAAGGACTCTGAGGTCAGTGAGAGCAAGGGGGGCTTTGCACAGCTGCCCACGCTGTGGGCCTGGTTCAGACAGGGTCTGTCCAGCACGTCTCAGGATTTGTGGGCGGGGCTTGCGGCAGTGAGAAAGTTGTTGGGGACAGGGTGTGACTTCCACCCATCGCAAGAAGGTATGGATCAGACCTGTGTTCCTGGAGTCCAGGATGACTCAGCAGAGGAGGCAAATGGGAATGGAGGCAGAGTGAAACCTAAGTCCTCGTAACACTGAGGAGTCAGAAAGGTGGGATTTAGGATTGCAACTCCCAGGGAAGCTGAGAACACGGTGACTGCCTGGTTGTCCCCATCATGAAGCAGACAAACTACCTGTGCCTTTCTCACAGGCAAGGACTGAAAAAATAAATGGCTTCCTCCCTGGTGAGAGTATAGTGCCTTCTGTGAGCGAGTTAAGGTTTACTTCCTAAGATAAGAGATGTAACAAACAGGGCTGGGCTGGGCTGGGCTCAGTGGTGGGGCACTCGCCTCGCACGGGTGAGACCCTGGGTCCCATCCTCAGCACCACATAAAAAATAAATAAATAAAGTTATAAAAGTATATATTAAAAAGAGAGAGAGAGAGAGAGATGTGATAAATATCTTCTGCTCTGTCAGGGCAGAGCCAGACCCCAGAAATCCTGGAAGCCTCCCATGAGATAGTAACCATTAGAACAATTAAAATCATGTTTCCAATTACAAGATCTTTCTTTCTAACCACCCGGCCCCACGCTTCCTTGCCAGATGGGAGTTCCAGCACATTTTGGATGTACTGAAATGGAAGAGAGTCTAGGATAAAATATGAGCAAGGGGGGAAGAAAAAGCAAATTGCAGAACAATTTTATGGAACAATCTTAATTTTGCAATGACTACAGTGATAAGCCATTGACAGCTAGAAGGCATTTTAGGAGGTCACCACCATGTCCAGGTAGTGGCCCTGGGAAGGAGACCGCAGCTCTGTGATATTCACAATGGATGTGCACGGCTTTCTTATTTAAATCAGCACGTTTATAAAAGAAACCACTTGCAACATTTCCTGTAAAGCACGCAGGAGAGATGACAGCTCAGGTCCATATTCTCATCTTTCCTTTCTGTCACTCAAATATTCAAATGCTGCCTGACTCGAGCCATGCATTCAGAAATGCTGTTGGCTGCACAAGGGTGAGCCAGGATTGCTGTCCTGGTCCAGCAGAAAGGGACACTGGGGGGCGGGTAGCCTGCCCAGGAAGACTAAGTGCTCCAGGTGAGCTGGGAGCAGAGGGGCCGGGCAGAGGCACAGAGAGCAGGGAGAGGCTGCTGGTATCGAGTGTGCAGGGGAAAAGTGGTCACCGCTTGCACAGGGCAGTAGCAATGACGCTGAGAAGTAGCCAGGCTCTGGCCATAGCCTGATGACGCAGCCCACAGCCGTGGTGTCAAGAGGGACACCTGATCTTAATCTGAGCAGAGAACCTGTGGGATCCAGCAGGCTCGGCCTGGACGGGGAGAGCTGGAGAAGCCCATCGGCCAGCCACGAGGAGCTGTGACAGGAGGCGCAGGGGCTGGAGATGGGCATGGAGGGTGTGTTGAGCCACATGTTTGCACAAAAATGAGTTCATGTTTCCTTATTGATTCTCAGAAAAATGAATGATCCTGTTTGCTACAGGAGCCTCGGTTTGTCGAGCAGCAGAAGCTAGTCTCTGCTCACTAATCCACCGAGCTCAGAGTCGAAGCCCTCTGGTATGTGTGACCTTGAGTTTTGTCCAAGGGCTGGACCCAACCCCAGGAATGACGGCTGAGGCCTCTGTAATTTAGGTGCTTGCTGCACTGGAATGAGGGTGGGGGCAGACCTCTAGGAGCTGAGTTAGCCCAGGGACCTGTGCCCGGGAACCTAGAGGCTGAGTTTGAATGTCCCCAGACATGCCACCAGGTAGCTCAGTATCTAAGAAAATGAGCAGGCTAGTTAATCATGGCCCAGGGCTTGGCACTGCAGTCTGCAGAACGCCCCTGACCCAGGGCCATGCTCTAGCACCTGGGGCAGGACCACCCTCATCAGGCAGGGACGTGCCATGAGGTGCTAGTGAAGGGGTCCAGGAGCACAGGGCACTGTCAGGAGGGCAGCCACTGTCCAGTGGAGTCCTGTTTTTATAGGACAGCACTGAGCTTTTCTGTCACTGGGGCTTCCTAGTGGGCACTCATGGCTAAGTCAAAAGTAGGTCCCCTGCTCCTCTGACCTGGCTTGGTTCCAAAAGGAGCCAGAGGGTGGCTTTGAAGCTGCTAGAGGTTTGCTCCACGGCTTCTTTCAAGCCACACTGCTCCTCTTGTATCCACTGTGGCCTGTGGTACTGGGGAACCACCTGGAAGGGACAGCAGCAGGGACCTCAGCCACTCGTGGGCAAGGAGGAGAGCCTTGGCCACTCCAGAGCCTGGGCCAAGGGACTGGATGACCTGCCTACACCATGCCAAGACCAAAGTGTGCCCCTCTCCACGCTGTCGTCCCCAGCTCTTCTCACCCCAAGGCCTAGGTGGGAGCCACAGGGGAGCACTGTGGCCACCAGCCCTGTATAGTCCTCCTGTCCGTGAAGTGAGTGAGCTCTGGGTCCTTGAGCTTCCCCCCTCCAGCTTTTCAGCCCTAGAGGCAGAAAGCGTGTCCAAGAGGGCAGGGCACGCTCCCACAATGGGCTACCTTGGTCTGTTCAAGCTACAAATTAGAAAGTTCAACCAGAGGAGAGCTGTGGGATTTCTGCACGAGTCTGGATGCATTTAGAGTCTGCACGCCATTGAGCACCACCGAAACTAATCCACTGGGCGCCAGACATTCCACACAGCAAGGAACAAAACTCCGCCAGGGCTTCCTAGACGTGGATGTAAATGCAACCACAAATAGAACCAGGCTGTCCCCACCTTGTCTCTGACCCAGACTGGCAGAACTGCCCTGGGGGCTTTAAAAGATGCCCCAAATGTGCAAATCCAAGGTGAGCTTCATTTCCTGTGATAGTGTGTTGCCACAGTTGAAGGAGAAAAATGGGGAGTTCCCTGCTCAGCTCCCCTGCACTGCAGGGTTCTCAGTTTGCACCTTGACCGTGGAGAAGCCATCGTACATGCTCAAAAGATTCTTCAAAATGCAACAGCTAATTGGGACACAAAATGACTGTGAAATTGTCCTGGGGCTGAGACGGCTGCTCCTGGAAGCCCAGCTGGCAGGCTGTGAAGTCTCAGCTCCTGTCCTCTCCTCTGCTGCTAGAGTGGCCCCTCTCTGCTGCCTGCTCTCCTGGTCAATGACACAGACTATGTTGGATGCTCACTGTGCCGTATCTAACAGGATGTTTAGTCCTGCCACACGTGAGGTAGTGGGCCTCAGGGTGATGAGGAAACGTGGCCATCCCTGTCCCTCCTCAGGTTGGTCAGTCCAGTGCCCTCTTGGGAGAGGCCAGGGGCAGGCTGTCCATAGCCCTGACGCAGAGCAGGATGTGTGAGAACCTGCTTGTGCACAACCACACTGCCCATCACTCGCTGGCCACTTGCCAACACTCTGTGGTGCACACGCTCGGCCTAGGCAGAACCCAGCGCCTTCCACAGGAGCGTGGACAGGAGCACAGGGGACACAGTGTTCTCTGCTGGCCTATACCAGCTACACCCTTGTGTGGCTTGCAGCAGTTGCTCTGTGTGCACACCACGTACACAGAGCTCTGGCAGTGAGTCGAGGAATCAAACGTGGTGGCTCGTGGTCAGCTCTCCCTGCCGTGGGCAGCAAGTGCTTTCCTCCAGCCTCACTCGCAGTGGGTTGCCCATCAAGAATGAAAACTAACCAGTTGGGCTTCAGCTGGCAGCCTGGAATCTCCAGATAAGCCCTCATTTCTTTTGTCAGGAGGCTGCAGAGAGCCAGGAAAGATGCGTCCTGTCTCAGGGCATAACGTCTCACCCAACACTGGGTGCCACTCTGAGCAGGCCCAAAGGCACCTTCCCAGCATTTATTCCCAACCAGGCTACAGAGGGAAGCCTGGGCTGGGACTCAAGGAGGCGAAGGCTGGTGTCAGCCCCAAGTGCTCAGCCCGTGACACCTCCCCAGGGTGCTCCTTTTATCTCTGCAAGGATCAGCAAAACCCCTCAAAAAAAGCTACCTTCAATAAGCACTTTTATTCTAGCCTAGAGTGTGAGTATCTCTGTGGGCTGTGGGATGGACCCGTCTGTCTATTCAGGGGCTCCTCATGGCCAAGGCAGCCATAGGCCTTGTGGTGCAAGTTCTGTCCTGGCTGGAGAAGACCATGGTCCAGCTCAGTGAATTCCAAGCCTTAGTTTTCTCGACTGTGGAGTAGGAACGAGTACCCCTCTCCTCAGAGGAGCGTTTCATAATCAACACTTGCTCCATAGCGTCAACCTGCCGTGGCCCTGCTCAGGCACACCGGGGAGGCAGCTTGGCCTGTGGTGGGAGTGGAGCGCCGTGAGACCAACAAGTCCCTACCCCGCCTGTGGACCCTGTTAAACACGCAGCATGAATCCAGCCTCATCAACCCCAAGAAACTTAGAGGTGTGTGTCGCTGTCCTGAGTGACAAGTGAGTGAAAAGAGGCCACCTGTCTGAGAGCCCTCTACTTGGAAAAGCTGACGGTTCACGCACTGCTCAGCCTTGCCCAGCTCTGCCCTTGCCGCTCAGGCATAGCAGGGAGACTCAATTCCCTAGAATCAAACTAACCTTTTAGAAATTTTCAAAGCAAGAGGCCAACACAGGCCTGGCCGTGGCTCTCAGAACAGCTCCCGGCCCTGCCCAAGCCCTGGCACATCCCGCTCAGGAGCAACTGCTGGTGGTGACAGGGCCCTTCAGGACCTTGGCCTTCTGACATGGGCTCCTGTCCAGTGCCACCAGCAGTCACAGGCCTTTTTGCCACACACCTCCCTCTCAGAAGAGCTCCAATCTGCATGATCTGTGAACACACAGTCACGAGGACACCGTCCGTCTTCTGTGGCATTCCCAAGGAGCTTTCCACTCACAGTAGGAAGGCTAGTTCTGTAAGAGGCAGGAAACTGTGAGGAACAGAACATCAGTTTTTAGAAATCTACCTTGAACAGTGTTAGAATACTTGCTGATTCAGTTAAAGAAATACCCTGCTAAGCTTAATAAGCAAGGTCAAAGACTTAAAGCTATAGCAAGGAAGGAACAACATGGATCTATTATGAAACCATAGATCTGAATACTTTTGATTAAGATGAATCCTTTCCCATTCAGGATCACTTACACACACACACACACACACACACACACACACACACACAGAGTAAGGTGAGAACTGGAATTTTAAAAGGAAGACAGTAATAAGAAGGAAAGTTCAAATAGCTAAATTTCCCATGAACATATCAGTTATTGTTTAGGTGTGAGCTGTCTCCCAAAAGCTCATTTTCAGAGGTGAAATGCCCGGATTATGACAGCTGTAGTCTAATCAATGGATCAATCCACCGATGCATTAACTGGGTGCTAACCGTAGGCAGGAAGGGTGTGGCTGGAGGAGGTGGTCACTGGGGCATGCATTTAGCGGGGCTCCCTTTGCCTCCTGGTGCCATGTCCTGAGCTGCTTTCTTCCTCCACGCCCTTCTGCTACGATGCTCGGCCTCACCTCGGGCCACAGCTACAGAATCAGCCACGTGGACTGAACCTCTGAAATCATGAGCCAGATAAACTCTTCTTCCTCCATGATATTTTTGTCAGCCCTCTGGTCACAGAGAGGAAAAGCCACCTAAAATACCTAATAAAAGTCACAATCCTGAACAGAAAGAACGAAATGAAGAGAAAAGTGCACGCTAGCCACAAAGTGTCCATAACACTTAATCACCAAAAACATGCAGGGTGGGTTGCACATCACTGTATCCACCTGTGCACCCTCCACCTGCCCTAGAGAACTAGCCAGTGGTAAACAGCCCCACGGATCACCTGGGACACAGGGCTTTTCATGGACACCTGCCCCAGCCAACAGTCCTCCTGCCCTTGCTCACCACAGCCAACTTTGACAGAGGAGACACCGGGATATGGAGCCGTGTGAGAAGATCCTATCGCTAGGAATTAGAAGGGACTGGTTGAGCTTAACCCCGTGTACCTGGTTAGACACTGAGAAGGACTAATCCAAAATGCTGCTAGTTTGGATACTCTGTAGCCCCATTACCTGGCGGAATGGTGGAACTAAGAAATCAGAGGGTGGGTTTGGTTTCTGGGAGTTAGGAAAGCTCTTAAAAACCAGAGCCCGTCTAGAGTTGGCCCTGATCACTCCCCATGACCACTCAGCTCAGCTCTGCACTCCCCAGAAACTCCACCTTGCTTTGGCTTCATTGCATGCATGTCTGGCCTCAGTGGCTAATTTTTAGTGGTCAGACTTAATAATCAAAAAAACATTGGATGGCTTACCAAAGACTAGAGAGAAAATACTGGACATGGGCCGCCTCAGACCCAAGGCGCACTACGGGGCAAGCAGCAGCCCCGCCTGCTTCCACCTGCTGAGGCCTGGAGAAGTGAGGCAACTGTTAAGACTTTCTTTTACAAAATAACCTTGCAGGTATTCAACCCGCAAGCTGCAAGGATATGAATGAGCTCTCCGTCGTGACTGTGCATGGCCGTGTGAAGTGCATCTTCCAAGTCCAGCAGCTTCCTGCCTATGGCTTCACATTGTTCTTCAAGTTCTGCAGACAAGATGTAAGATTCCTGGCCAGAGAACAAGAAAAGGTCATGAGTGCGCCACAGGGACTTCAGGACTCTGTGTGCAGGCAGGACACATGGGGAAACATCTCAGGCTTCCTTGGCTTCCACACCCCTGGGAGTCACACAGGAGCCTGTGCCACCCTGGAGGAAGTGACGGGGAAACGAAGCCCAGTTCAGGCTGTGATTGCATGAGGGGGCTCATCCACATAGTTCCCCAGCCCCGCTCCCATCTGGTCATTTCCAAGCCTGACTTCCCGAGCATCAACTCCTGAAAGGGTTTATCAAAAGGAAACCTAGACTTTCCAGGTGCCTTCACAGGGGACTCATATTCTTATTGGAATTCTAGCAAAAGCTGGGTGGGAGAGGGTGTCACAGGAGCAAATGGGCTGAGCTTCAAGGACAGGGGGTTTTCCTTGAAGGGCACAGGAATCTGACTGGGTCTGAACACTGGCCACCCCGAAGCACATGGGGGTGGAGACATGAGTGCACACTGTCTATTCTGCTGCCACCTCCTCGCTTCCCTGGAGCACAGGCCCCGCAAGAGCAGGGATGACCATGGCACCTGCTGCTGGGTCCCCCTGGGCACCTGGCACTGGGCAGATACTTAGAATTCATCAGTTTGGTGAAGGAACAGTTGAGTCTCAGAATCGCCTGCTCCTCTAAGACTTCCCCTCCAAACGCGTGCCCCATACAGGAGCCAGTAAAGGGCCCTCTGTGTCACTGTCCTGCACAAACCACCATAGAGCAGAGTCCACTCTTTGCAGTCGAACAAACTGGTCCAAACCAGTTCCAGCTCCTCAGCTCTCGGCTGTGGCCTGACATTTGCCACCTGCCCGCACCTGAGTCCGCAAGCCCAGTTCCTCCCGCTATCATCCTGCACCCCCTCCCCTCCTTCAAGCCCCACAGGATGATCCCCCTTCCTAACTCTCCATTCTGACATGTGCCAGGTCCACCGGGGCGACTGAGAACTCGCTGTGGACAAGGGCCTTGGGCTGGCCACTCGTCCCAAGGCCCCAGCGTCAATCCTGAGTTCTAGAAGCCCACAGATTCTTAAAGGAAACAAGTAAACAAGACCAAGAAAATTCAGAGAGAAAACAGTGAATCTTGGTATAAAAGGAAGAGAAAAGCAAGAAATCCGTCCAGAATTAAAACTTGACCAAATGTAGAGGCAGTATTTTCCCAACTAGCAGCGAAGGGCTTACAAGATACACTAAAGGAATTGTTCATAAGGGAAGAATGAAGGTGTGTGTTCAGATTTAAGTGCTGGGCTGCCACAGAGCAACATGGGGTACCTAACAAGGACCCCAAGGGCCCAGGTGTGGCAGCGACACTGGGCAAAGCCCTTAGTCATCAGTGTCTGTCACGTGATGCTGAAGTCAGGGTCTGTGAATGACACTGAAGGCCAGCCATGTTCTCTGACATTGCTCTATTAGCTGTGGAAGGCTTTAAAGTTCACGTCCCAATGGTCCACTGTGGTGGAAGACAGCTGTGCCCATGGGAACCGTCATCACTACTGTCACCAAGCAGAGGGCACGTGGAATGCAGGGAAGTGTATATATGAAAGAAAGGGATCTGGTGACAAGGTCACTGTATTGAAGTAGAAGATGGTAATTATGCAAAGCTGATGGCATTGGAAGTCCAGGAGGACTTCCTGTCCTCACAGCTCAGCCCACTTGCTCCTGTGACACCCCCTCCCGCCCAGCTGCCAGATTTGTGATTAGTCGTTAAGAAGACTTAACGCAAGAACAGCTGATCACAGGAAAGACTTAAATAGGCAAATAACTGCAATGATTCACAATTATTTTGAGGGGTGGTATTATTGAACATTTTTATTTTCTTCTCTATACTTTCCTAAAGTTTCCCATATTTTTAAAGTATAATTAGAAAAAAATTACCATAAATATTATTTCAAACAATAATGGTAGAGTATGGAAGCAATACAGTGGAATTTTTTTTTTAAAGTTTTTTAAAGATTACAAAGACACAAACTCAAAGCACCATGTCTGGTGACAGAAGGTCTGATTGGCACACACTAGTGGGGTTGGTTGCTTTTCCAAGGCACAAGTTAGAGAATCTGCCAAGCCCTGCACCAACCATGCTGGTGCACAAACCTCCATATTGCAGGTTCTGCATCTGTGGAGTCAACCAAACTCTGGATTCTTGCCCCACCATGTTATCTGTTCCTCATGTCGTGATGTCATCTGCCATGATGTGACATAGCCAAGGGGCCCTCCCCAAAGACCAAACACATGGATCTGCCTTATTATGAACTTTCAGCCTCCAACACTGTGAGCTAAATAAAGCTTTTTTCTTTATTAAGTATCCAGCCTCAGGTATTTTGTTACAGCAACAGATAATAGACTGATACAAAGCTTTTGAGGATGTTTTGCTCTTTCTCAGACTGCACTATCTAGGAAATAGTCTTTCCGTGGTGTGAGAGCCAGTGGGGGAACTGGTATAAAGACTTTTCCAAACGCTGCCCAACTACAGCCAAGAACAGTCTTGTCTGGGATAATCCCTCAGCCTCACAGCAGCCTCTGCATCCTGCATGACAACCCCAGTACTTGACACGTGTCTCTGTTGGCCTCAGAGAAAGCCCTGCAGCCTTGCATGGGAAGGAGTCAGTAGCACGGCTTAGCCAGGCAGCATCTCAAACATAACTTGCTAAGCTGACCTCACGAGCAAACCTGAAGGCTTGAATGAAGGGCCGGAAAGGCTCAGCTATGTTGACTTAGAGCTGACGTCACCTTTCTGTCCATGTCTCCCACCTCAGGGAACACGATCTAAAACACAAAACAGGGTTTCCTACGTCGAGCAGGATTTTCTCATTAAAATGAATTTCTAAAAACACTTGTCTGTGAAGGTGTGGGCTTGCACCCACGAAGGCACCCGGCTGCTGACCTGAGCAGGTGCTAAACCATGCACACTGGTAAAGCGGGTGTAAATCCCTGACCAGGGTCTCGGAGGGCTCTTTTTTTTTTTTTTTTTTTTTTTTTTTTTTACTTAGTTTTATTTTCCACAAACAAGGCTAAGTCCTTGCCTGTGGCATTTAGAAAATACCAATATTTAAAATGTTAGACTTGAGCTCATGTTCAGAGGGCAGGGAGTGCCCAGCCAACAGCCAGGGCTCTTCCCTCAGTGAGGACACGTCCCTGCTGACAGTGGCCACCAGGCTGTTCGGGGCCATGAGACAGCGTGTGTATTGTTTCTGTTCTGAACAGAACCTGCACTGGGAACAGGAGATGTGTCCAGCTGAGTGTCTGGGGTGGGCACTGCTGCAGGGCCAGCTCTGCCTGGAGCAGCGCCAGGGCTTCTGGAGTTGCTGCTCATCCCGGAGCTCACCACATTGAGTCGTGGCTGGGATAATCCAAGATGGTTGAATAGTTGGCTTCTTCAGTTGCTGGGGAAAGTCCTTCCAAGGGAAGAGGCAATGAGAGGCCCAGCAGGAGCCACGCACAAGATAGAAAAAGTTTCGTGGCCACAGCAGCAAGTGCCACTATCGATCTGAGTGGAGCCTGGGAGGCTCTGGGCACCCTGCGGATCTGGCTCCCGTGGGAGATGCATGTGCTGCGGCTGTGGGTGCTGGCCGTCGCGCTCTGCTCCTGCAGGTGGGGGTGGAGGGCACGTGGTGTCCAGAGCCCTCGCCTGAGCCCCGGCTGGGTGCTGGGCTCTTGGCTCTTACCTGGCCAGCACACCCAGGTCCCCACTTGCCTTGGCCATGGGTTGAGGCTCCACAGTAGCTGCCCACCCATGATGACCTGGTTCTAGCAGCCAAAGCCACAGGTGACACAGTGAAGAAAGGACAGGGCAGAGGGGTCCCCCCTGATAGCGCAGCCTTCTGCGCTCAGGGCCATCTGCGGCACTGCTGAGGTTTGACGAATCCTGGAAGTAAAAGCCCTGCTCCGCTCACATGAACCCTGACCCACACCACGACTGAGCCTCAGGACGTCTGTTCCGGCCCCGAGTCTCACCCCGCTGTCCCCCGAGGTAAAGCAGACATGCTTGCCACCCCCATGGGCTCAGCGGGGGCTGAAGGCGTCTCCTTGGCTCAGACGTGAAGCCACAGCCTTCCACATGTTCTTCAGGCCATTTTCCAGAACATTTGCGTGGCAAATGCATTCCAGGAATGCTCCATGATTTTCTCCGCCTTTTTAAAAATATGGTCCATAAGGAATATTTACCCCAGACAGTGGCCTGTCTGTTACACAAAGAACGTGTTCCACATCTATTTGGAAGAGATTTGTGGTGAGCATTCCCCTTTCCTCATAAACGCTGAGGGCCACAGGCAGCGTATGAACACCAACAGGTGCAGAAGCCCAAGCGCCTCTTTGTTGCTCTGGATAAAAGCTGTAGCCCCCCAAATGCCCAAGTCATGTGGCTACACCCTGAGCAAGTGGGTGTGGCCCTGGAAGCACCCAGTGGTTGGAAGGGGTGAAGAACCCACCTGAAGTGTCCAGACCCCTGTAGATCACAGCCGGCAATCTGCTGTCCCCAAGGACCCTCACGCTTGTCTCAAAGAAGGCATGAGAAGGAGTTCGGGACAGGAGGAATCAGCAGAGCCAAGAGAGCTGGTAGGAGAAGCTGCCTCATGCTGGGTCTGCGGCGACCGGCCTGCCATCTCTGGCCTGCATGAAGGATAGCCTTAGAAAGCCACCTTCAGTGCTACGTGGCCACTCAAGAGCTTCTGGACTGCTGCCCTGTTGCACACTGGGCTCAGACTTCAGAGCTGAGCAAGGTCAGACCCCACCAGCACCGTCAGTAGATGGGACCCTGTTTCAGCTGGTACCTGAATAATCGCCACCCCACAACAGATCCAGATTCTGGGGACTGTGACATCAAACTCCGAAGACATACAGGAAATAAAAGCAGAGCACCGCAGGGGGATGCTTCAAGGGATGTGCCTTTGAGCTGCCTGTTGCCGAGAAACACCAGACTGCAAGAGGGAAGCGGGACTAGGAGAACTAAAGCCAACGCCAAAGTTGTTCATTTTTGTATTAGAAAAA